TTATATGTAAAATGTTTAAGCAGTCAAAGATTTGAGCAGCTAAAACAGTTCATTATGGAAGCATTGAGCTTTGTTTGCATGGATAGAATGGAGATTTATTGACGTTTGTAAAACTATTCCGTAACCATTGTAGTAACGTATTCCATCGTTAGTCTATTCCACCTTACACCGCACCATCTCGACCTTTCCGCGTCTCGCTGCGGCAATGAACTGACCTAGAATCAGCTGCTGTTCCACAACGGAAGTCCCTGGCGCTGAACCCGCCAGCCGATGTCATGTTCATGCTGTCCGATTAGCCGCAGCCTAATCGTAGTCGCACATCGGGTTCGATTAGCACAGGTCGGATCTGTACATACTTCGATCAGCCCATGGGACCCACACGCCATGCCATTCTAGGCCGCTAGAGAACTAGCCTGAGTCAGATTCGATCAACGATGACGTGGCACAGCAAAGCTCAGGTGCGACTGGCTTACCCACACGCTTTGAAGGCTCACCAATCTCGTCGGGAGCATTTCGAGCCACTGTTTCAAAACTTGTAGGTCCAAATGTACCTCCGTGGCAAGTTCTCACGATATTGACCACGCCATCCATTCCAGAGCATCGCGGGTATCTCGGAAACAATTGTTGCTTCTGATGCCATTGGATCTGCCATGTCGACATTTTCTGAGGCAAACGATCAGGCAACAAATTTAAACGTTAGCCTTGGGCACCGTACCTGGAACTCCCGTTGCCAACGGAACCCCGTTTTCCGCCGTCAGCTAGAGCGGCTCGTTTGTCAACGAACCGCTCAGCAGCATCCTGTCAGGACGGACTGCATTCGTAGCCACGAGTAGAAAACCCTGTCTGACAGCCATTACATTTCAGTTGAATCACATCGTTCTGTACTCACAGCTCGTTGCTACCCCCTTCCTCAAGCTTCGAAGTCTTCTTTGCGTCTGAGTGCTGATGGCCATGAAAACCCTCGCTGCGTGCAGCAAGGCTGACCCCGACGACCTCTTCTACTGGGAAGAGGACCACGGATGCGTTCCAGCAGGATTGAAAACCCTCTACCTTCCTGCTGCCTCCGCTTCCGCCTCTCCCAGCTGGAGCGATGCAGCACGCAAGCGATCCACGCCTGCTGCTGCTGCTACTGCTTCAAGTGCCAAAAAGGCACGAATTTCCGAGGATTCTGAAGACGAATTCTCTTATATGAGCGAGTTGGACTTGCTGGAATTCCGCCAACGGTATCTTAACCCTGAAAGCATCTTCAGCAATGACGGAAACGTGTCCTTCCTGTCAAAGGACGAGTTTCTCGCTTCCGCAGGCAAGAAATCGCCTTGGATTATGGTTGAAAAATCTGCTGCTAGTAAGAATGATGTTAACAAGAGCAACAGGAGCGTGATGGTCTGCACCTTCAGCTCCAGCAGTGCAAACAATACGAGCTGCAGATCTGTGCAAACTCCTGCTGTAAAAGCCAGCACAAAAGATTCAGTGAAAAAAAGCTCCAACAAATGCCATACCTTTGAAAAAAAGGTTGGGTTGTCCAACCTGAGAAAGGCTTCTGCTGCTGTTGTCCCTGTTGACGCTGCTACTGCTGCTAAGAACTCGGACATAAAGTCAAGGCATATGGCTGCTAAGTCAAGTTCTAATAAGGATGATGCAGCAAAGGTAAGAGTGGAAGGGACAACAGCTGATAAGGCATCAAATGGGAAGGCTAGGGGGACGAGGCGGATGAGGAGGTGGGTGAGTAGAGCTTGGTCAAGCATAGCCTTGAATAAGTGGCACAATGGCAACTGAGGTAAAGCTGGTGGAGGTGATGTGGAATGATGGTGGTAGGGGTACACCCCCTTTTTTTCATCCTGCCTAGCAGGATGTTGTGGGAATGATTGGAATGAATGGTGGATGGAGAGAAAGGAATGGTGTGGGTGCCACTTTAGACTTAGTACTCATGTCTAGTCAAGTAATATTAATATAGACATCGTCTTTTCATGCTCTGGTATGGATGGGGGTGAATGTACATCGTGGAATGGAGGAATGAGTGTGAAGTAGAGTGTCTTGAGGTAGGCTGGTCACGTTTCATGTTCAGATTGGAACAAGCATGGTGAATTCGAATGGGATTGGTGGTCAGTGCTTATTTGTAATGGTCAGAGCATGGAGTGATATGAATGATTCAATGCCAGACCATGTTGACAAGAATGAACACAAATGGTTAAGTTGAACACAATCAACAGAGAAGACTTTGAAAAGAGTTAAGCAATGAGAAGTGATTTTCACTTGTTTAGTTTCTACCAAGACGATTGTCAGAGTGACCAAAATGATGGGGATGACAACAGGATATGATATGAATGCGGATTGCAATGGCCATGAGAATGAGAAATCATTGTTAGAATGAAAAGCAGCAGCAGCCATGAGATTGTGAGGGAGTCCAGAGGTGTCATCATTCCACTGCCATGTTCCCACGATCATCAGGGTGGGGTTCTAAGGGAAGGAAGGTGGAGGGGTTAAGCACGAAGGGGGATTGTTGTGGCAGTTTTTTCTTATCCTCCTATTCCCATTCCCCATGGACCATGGGAGGCTTACAATGTCACTCCCAATTACCTGCATCATCCTGTTGCCATTCCTGCTTCCAGCTTCCCATTGCCATTTTTCACATCACTTCCATTTTTTAAAGTCAGCTTGCCATTGCAATTTTCTTGTCGAGTTCCCCTATTGTCCCTTATCCAGCCTTGTTGTTAGTTGTGCTCCGAAGTCTGGGATGACATGGGGAGATGAGAGTGTGGTTTGGGATGAGGTGAGGTAAGTGGGAGATGGGATGAGGTGAGGTAAGTGTGAGATGGGATGAGGTTTAGGTAAGTGTGAGATGGGATGAGGTTTAGGTAAGTGTGATGAAATGAGGTGAGGTAAGTGTGTGGTGGGATGAGGTGAGGTAAGTTTGTGGTGGGTTGAAGTGAGGTAAGTGTGTGATGGCCTGAGGTGAGTTAAGTGTATGATGGGATGAGGTGAGGTAAGTGTGAGATGGGATGAGGTGAGGTAAGTGTGTGGTGGGATGAGGTGAGGTAACTGTGTGGTGGAATGAGGTCAACCTAATGCTATGCTGCTATGGTTCTTTCGGAGGAGGACACGTGGCAAGGCACCATCGCAAGGTGAACTCCATGCTTCACATGTCTCGCATTCCATTCTCTGTTCTTTCTCCACTTCCCCTTTCTATTTCTTGCTGCTCTACATGTCCTTTTGTCCAGTCAGTCTGCCATAGGACTTTCTTAGCCAAATTCTCATGTCGATTTGTCATACGAAATTCTTGCGGTCACTTTCCAAGTGGTCATTGCCATGTTCCTGGCCACTTCCCTCTGCCTCAACTTGTCAAATGTCCTGCATGGTTTCCTTTGGCATTTTCCCTGTTCATTGCCCATTCACATTTTGTTTAATCAACTCGCCATTGCAATTGTCAAGTCAGCTTGCAATTGACATTTTCCAGTCATGCCATTTTCCAGTCATATTGCCATTTTCCAGTCATATTGCCATATTGTTGATCTTGCCAGATTCTGATACCCATTTTCCTGATAATTTTCTATCACCATTTGTTGAAATGGGTATATTGTCACCTGCCCTGCCAGATTCTCATCTTCCATCTTCCCAGTCAAATGCCCATTGCTTGCCATTTGTTGTCCTGCCAACTTCTCAATGTCATATTGTACAGTCAAATGTGTAGCGCCATTCTCTACCTAATGCTGTTTCATACCTATTTCATAAAACCTAATGCATCAGCCATGCACGTCAATGCATGTCAGCCAACGCATGTCATGCCATGGCATTGGCATCTCAGTCGCAGGCATGGCATCCCCCCACTGACACGTATAAGGTAGTGAGGGCACGGTGGGTGGACCATGAGGCATAGATGGTTCACGGTGGGGATAGATTGGCAGAGAGAAAAGGTGGGATGAGGGATGAGATGAGAGGCATCTGTTTGGTCAGGTGTGCCATCTACTGGTATGTGTCATGCCATGGCCATGGCAATCTCAGTCGCAGGCATGGTGGAAGGCAGAGAGGGTATGGTGGGTGGATCATGAGGCATGTCATGGATTGTGCAAGGTGGAATGGCAATGAGAATTGGAGGTGGAGACATCTGTTTTGTACGATATGTTGTGCCATTTACTGGTGCCTTTGGAGGACTCACCATGCCATGCTGTCATTCCAGTCCGTGTGGTGTGACTGCTGTCCCCACTTGGAGGTAATCGTGTCAGAGAGGAAGAATTGAGTGTAGTGCAATTCCACTTGTAAGCCATGCAACTGTCAAAGCGTCTAGCAGGAAACGGGCTACTGCGACGCACCACCTGTTTCCCTCATGACATGGTGTGAAAGTCTGTAATCTCATAAATAACCCCCCTCCTCCCTCCATGCCATTGCCAACCCCCACGTAGGTGCTCAATATTGGCCTGTATATGGTTATTCCCCCCTCCGGCTGGAGGAAAAAATAGATGAGACCTCCCATGTATTGCACCTTCTTCCAATTAACTACTGGTACAATTCTGTTTTTTTGTGAATCAGCCATAGAAGTGCCACCGGGCAAATGCAATCGGCTGGAAACATTCTCGTCGCCGCCACCTACATTCGTGCCAAAGATATAATGTGTACCACCTAGTGTACCACATTGAGCCAGTAGCGTTTATCGGGTATCTCAAACACATGGTCGGATATGGCACCCTTGCTGCTTGCTCACCGCCATGCCATGCCACCACACCGCACCGCACCGCACAATGTGCGTCACTCAAGGCAGCAACAGTCGTCGCTGCGAAAACGTCAAGCTTCGGCGGAAACGGATGGCAGTTACTTGAGCAATTCAAGGGTAACGGGTGCAATGCCATTGGCGCTGCGCTCAGTCATGGCAACATGGCTTCCTTCCATTCCGCACATAGTTGCGAGCTTGCCTGCTGCCAAGGGAAGGTCCCCGCCATTGCAAAGACGGGATCGCCGCGGCGCGTGTGGCATGTGTTGTGTTGTGACGTCTGGCTGCAAGCAAGCCAATGCGTCGGCGAGCTGCGATGTTGTCGCTGCTGCACCCTGCAGTGAAGAGTGGCGGAGGCCAGGAGTCCTTCCGCATACTACTCTCTCACACTGTTATTCCAAGACCGACTCTGAACGATTTCTATTTCCCGCCAAATCTGCCCCGCCAAGCCTTTTACAATTAGGAGCCTAACCTGGAAGACGGGTGTCCGGAGAGTGCGGAGACGATTCGGTGGAAACCAATCGCGCGTCGAGCCATCGCGTCGAGCCATCGCGTCGAGCTATTGCGTTGTGGTGAATATAACCACGAGCGCTGCGACCGCGCCCAAGGCCGGCGGTAACCCTAATTCGTTACCCGCGATGGCTGCATCCAGCGGCTTACCGTTCAACCAGTACAACGGAGTAAACGGAGTCAACGCGGTCAGCGCGTCCTCCGACGCACTCCGCGTTCGCCCGCCAGCAGCGCTCTCCTGCTCGCTTTCGCACGGCCTGTCGCTCTCGCTCCTCTCGTCGCTGACTGCCACGTGGCAGCACGGCAGGCACCGCCTTCGAGTCAGGTGAGGCAGTTTCCGCTGCACCTCTACTCTGCCTCTTGCCCCCTTCCGTCCATTGCCCTCCGCCGACCCTTCCCCCCCGCCGTCCATTCCCCCCCGCCGTCCATTCCCCCCCGCCGTCCATTCCCCCCCGCCGTCCATTCCTCTCTGCCGTCCGTTGCCTCCTGCCGTCCGCCCCTTGCCTCATTCGCGAACCTACTAATCCCCTCCCGTCGATTTCCCTGCAGCACGTTGAGCGCATCTCAGTCGTTGGATGAGCCATCGTGGAAGAAGGCTCAATCTAGGTCGTTGCTGGAGGTGGGTAGCTTGGTGGCTGGGTGGGTGGTTGGGTGGGTGGGTGCGTGGGTGGGTGGCAAGGCAAAGCATGGTGGTAGAGCCGGTGGGTGACGATATTGCAACCCGCGTCCGTGCATGCATAGTACGAGTTGAGCCTCCTGGAGTTGAGCCTCCTCGAGTTGAGCCTCCTGGAGTTGGACCGTGCCAACAGCACCCGTGCCACACTCAGCAGCGTCAACCTCTCTCGTTGATCCAGCCCCCTGCTTTTATCACCACACTATCTCCTCTCCCCCTATGCCTATCCCCCTTTTTCCTTTTTCTTTCCTGATTCGGTTCTTGAGTCGTCGCCCTATCAGGCTACAGTACCATCCCCCATCCCCTTTCCGCTCTCCACATGTCCCTTCCTCGTCCCTGACACCATTCAAGTTTCCCCTCAGGACCAGTTTCCCCGCATCCCCTTTCCTCTTCCCCCTCCCGTTTTCCCCTTTCCCCTTTCTCCTTCCCGTTCCTCGTCACCCCTCCGATTCCCCATTTCCCCCTCCTTCCCCCACTCCCTGTGCACCCTTCCCCCAATGCACCACAGCGCTTCCCCCTGAAGGCGGCGGCAACGGCGAGCGGGTTGGCCCTAGCGGGCGACACGCTGGCGCAGCTCATGGAGCGCCGCCAGCTCCGCCAGCAGCGGAAGCAACAGCAGCAGCAGCATGGCAGCCATCGCCCCCACCACGCGGATGCGCGCTGTGCTGCCGCCACGGCAACGCAGGATCAGCACGTGGTGCCAGCAGGCGAGGGGGCGGGGGAGGGGGAGGGGGTGGGGGAGGGGGAGGGGGTGGGGCAGCACGACTGGGTGCGAGCGGTGCGCATGGCGTTGTACGGCTTCCTACTCTATGGCCCCGGCTGCCATGCCTGGTACCGCTGGCTCGACCGCCTGCTGCCCGCCCCCACCGCTGCCAACTTCGCCCTCAAGGTGCACCGCTCCCCTCACTCGCTGTACGCTGTGGGACCAGGGGTACCGGGGGTACCAGGGGTACGGGAAGCTGGACTGACTGCCTGCGGCTGTCCGCTCACACGGAGCTCGTCTCAAAGCGGGCCCAGCCCTGCTCTGCTCTGCTCTGCTCTGCTCTGCTCGCAAAGCGCCTCCTCGCACTCGCTATGAGCAGCTCCCATGTGCCGCACCTCATCGATGCAGCTCAACTCTGCCATGCGGCTTTCATAGCAACTGTGGGTACCAGTGGCAGTGGCAGTGGCAGTGGCAGTGGCAGTGGCAGTGGCAGTGGCAGTGGCAGTGGCAGTGGCAGTGGCAGTGAGTGGAAGCACACCTCACCAAGAGCCAAAGTCGCCACCAGCAAGGCGCACCCTCGCCTTGGCGTCCCTCCTCCTGCTGCTCCTCCTGCTCATCCTCTTCTCTTCCCAACCCCCTCGCCAGGTGCTAGCGAATCAGGTGGTGGTGGGGCCGACTGTGCTGCTCGTGGTGTTCGCATGGAACATGGCGTGGATGGGCAAGGCCAGGGACATCCCAGACAAGTACCGTCGAGACTTCTTCCCCTCGCTCATCAAGGGTACGTTGGTTGACTCCCGTCTCGTCTGGTAGAATAGTGTCTTCGTGGTAGCTAGTTTTCCACTGCTCTTTCATGTTTGCAGCTTGATAGATTCTTGCAGTTACCATCAAGAAGTACTCCTTTCAACCCCTTGGTACTCCTGTGTGCGCCTCCTCAGCCCTCTGTTCCTGAGCATGTAAGCTGTTCCAAGCATCACCATACTTCTTTCTGAAATGAAGCATGTGGCTCGCCATGTCTCTTGGTGCATGCCCGCGCCATCAGGCTACAACTTCTGGATACCTGCCACCTGCCTCAACTTCGCGTAAGCCTCATCTTGCCTTGCCTCCCCTTCCCTCCCCTTCCTCCCCTTCCTCCCCTTCCTCCCCTTCCTCCCCTTCCCTCCCCTTCCCTCGCCGTCCTCTCGCTTGCCCTTCATCTTCCCCTGTCCTTTTCCAAATCTCTGTACTTTCACTTCCTCATTCCTCCTGCCAGCAATGTCTGCAGTCCGTTCTTGTGCTTCAACCACATGACCCATTGCCTGCCCACGTCTGCTGCTCTCCCTGCTTCCATCCCCCATCACTGCTCCGTTTCCTCCCCCTCGTCATTCCCTTTACAGAGTCGTGCCATTAGAGGCGCGAGTGGCCTTCATGTCATGCTGCGCCATCTTCTGGAACTTCCACCTCTCCTCTTCACTTGGCAAGGAGGCACCTCGCCCCGCACCGCAACGCGCACCTCGTCCTGCTGCGCCTCTCGCTGCTCCTGCTTCGTCTCCTGATGATTCTCCTGCCGCCACGACTTCTGCTGGTTACCAAGTGTTGGCTGCACCTTCTGCGTAGTTCACAAAATGGGGGACTTACCTATGTGCCAATGATAAAAAGGGGGCTGTAAATAAATTAAAGCCAGGGTCTCAAGTGACCAAGTGCTTTGCAGTCGATGAAAAACGGGCCAGTCTGATTGGGTTACAAATTTAGGGCCAAACTTTTGACAAATCGAGACTCTCCAAAGAGCCCACTTTTCGCCCAAGTGCTTTGCAGTTGCACGGCCAACCCGTACATGAGACCCTGGCTTTAAACACCAGGGCCATTCTTTTCAGCGGCGTTTGCGGTGTAAGCTTTGAAAAAATGTTTAGGTGCTGGTCGTTTCCTCAAATGTTTCGCTTAACCCACATACATTCACACATTTCTAAGCCTATTTGGAAGCCACTGGAGCAAATTGTTGATTTTTTTGGGGAGGAGTAATACGGTTTCTGTAAATATAAATATCAGTTCTCCTAGAGCAAACAAAGAAAAGTTCACCTGGGCGCGTGAAAAGAATGATTCCATATTGCGTACAGTAGGAGCACTGTGCTTTCAGTGGTGCGCATTCTAGGGCGCGTGTGAACTATTTTCAAGTTTGGAAAAAGGGTCAGACTTTGTGCGGTTACCAGCATCGCTAATGTCGCCAGGAAGCTTTGGCGAAGGCATGAGAATGTTGGGGCACATAAGTTCGAATGTCAGATGTGAACTCAGCTCGAATCACACGAGTGAACGTGCGGGTGCACGTGAGGCGAGTGTGTGTTGTTTTCAGCACGTACGAAGACCATCTGAAAATCGCGACCGCCTTGCGAAGTTCGTTGAGCTTCGTTGCGCGTTACGATAACGTGTCGCGCTGTACCAGGTAACCTACTCCCCTACGGGCGGCTCGCCGCCATCCCTAAAAGGTCGAATCTCTGTGTTCGACCTTGGGTGTGTAATTGTGACTCGTCTGTGTTGGAGACCCAAGATTCGAACTTCGCTGGAAAGAAAGTCGAGTTTTGTTCAAATGCTACATTCGACCTAAAACATAAACTTTCACAAATTTGTAAGACCACACGCGCCCTAAGGTCTCCGCGAGTCTCAAAATTGCCGCGCGCGGGGGGCTTCGAGGGGCATTCCGCCCATCATGGCTCCCGCTGCCGCTGTTGCTCCAGCGCTGCTCGCTGTAGCGAGACCGCTCGCTACTGGCGCTCCCGTCTGCGAGGCAACTTCGCTCCGATATACGGACATCTGTTTGCGCAGCAGTGCTGCTTTCCGCGCAGGCGCTCCGCAGATTGAGCTCAGTTGGCGCAGTCGGGTCATTAGACGCGGGGCTAGTGCGGGCGTGCGTGTGCGCGCGCGCGGGGGGGAGGACGGCGGCGGGCAGCGGAAGGGGAAGCAGGGCCCGTCTTTTGGCGATCAAATCCTTGACTATATCGAAGGTGAGCCTAACGAGCGATCGAATCTTCGGGGTAACGGGAGGGAGGATGGAAATTGAGGAGCTCACTTAGTGTTCCCCTCCGCTTGCGTCAGCATGACCAGAAAAGGACGACAAACCTGCAACGCCACGGCCTTCAGGCTTCAGCTGACGTCATGCATTCCACAGGCATGAGGTGTAACGAGTGAGGCAGTTTCTCTCAATCCCGCCTCCTTTCCTCCATGAGAACTCCCCATGCGAATTCCCTATGCGCGTCCATCCCATCTTGCCTCCCAATGAGAAAAAACCAAGGTGATAACGCTTCCCCCACCACCACCACCTCTTCCCCTGCACTGTATCCGCTTCCCATCTCCCGTGCTGCTCCCCCATCCCTTCCCCACGCTGCTCTCATCCGCCATTCCCCCTGCCCCTCCGCGCCCCACCCCCCTCCCATCCCCTCCCCCCCACCACGCGCGCATGGTGTGGTGTGGCTACCACACCAGGCGGCCCAAAGCTGCGGCGCTGGTACGGCGCAGCTGACACTCTGCCCAGGGATGGCGCTGGTGAGGCATGGGCGGGGATACAGTGCGGTGGGGTGGTGTTGAGAAGGGGAAAGGCAGAGTTGGGTGGGGCGGCGGAGTGAGTGTGCGGGTGTGGGTGGCAGGGTGGCACTGCTGTGAAGCATGCTGGCTGTGGCTCACCTGTGTTGGCTTTTGAGAACTCTCCACAGTGGACGCGTCTCAGTGTCTTGCTGCAGCTGTGTTGTGCACTCACCGCTCACCACTCACCACCGCTCACCGCCGCCCTGCTTCTATCCCCAATCTCCCATCGCCCCTGCACCCGCTTCCATGTTTGCACTCCACCTGCATTCCACACAGACGAGGACGAGGAAGGCGAGGAGACGGAGGAGGAGGGGGAGGAGGAAGAGGGGGGAGGGGATGCAGTGTTGGTCACAGATGCTGACTCGGACACAGGCCAGGTGATTCTCAGGTGATTTTCAGGTGATTCTCAGGTGATTCTCAGGTGACTATTGAACTTTGGATGCTGTTCTCAGGTGGCTTCGTGTTTTATGCTCTCACCAGCCTTGCCCTTGAGGTGGTTAGGTGATTGTATCATAAAGGAGGGGGGGGGGGGGGGGGGGGGGGGGAGGGGGAGGAGAGGGGAGTAGCTGTTTGAATGATAAGATGTGGCTCCCCTCCCACTCTTGTGTACCAGATGACATGCGGCCTGGAATGGAATCCCTCTTCAGAGCTTCCCCACGCCACTTGTGTGGCTCCCCTCTTACTCTTGCCCTCCTGCAATGACCGACAGCGCACGACTGCTCTTTCCCTCCCTCACGCTCTTCCATCTCATCCCACCATGCCGTACGTTGCATCTCATCCCACCATGCCGTACGTTGCATCTCATCCCACCATGCCGTACGTTGCATCTCATCCCACCATGCCGTACGTTGCATCTCATCCCACCATGCCGTACGTTGCATCTCATCCCACCATGCCGTACGTTGCATCTCATCCCACCATGCAGCACATCGTGGCATGCAGCACATCGTGGCATGCAGCACATCGTGGCATGCTGCACATCGTGGCATGCAGCACATCGTGGCATGCAGCACATCGTGGCATGCAGCACATCGTGGCATGCAGCACATCGTGGCATGCAGCACATCGTGGCATGCAGCACATCGTGGCATGCAGCACATCGTGGCATGCAGCACATCGTGGCATGCAGCACATCGTGGCATGCAGCACATCGTGGCATGCAGCACATCGTGGCATGCAGCACATCGTGGCATGCAGCACATCGTGGTATGCAGCACATCGTGGCATGCAGCACATCGTGGCATGCAGCACATCGTGGCATGCAGCACATCGTGGCATGCAGCACATCGTGGCATGCAGCACATTGTGGCATGCAGCACATCGTGGCATGCAGCACATCGTGGCATGCAGCACATCGTGGCATGCAGCACATCGTGGCATGCAGCACATCGTGGCATGCAGCACATCGTGGCATGCAGCACATCGTGGCATGCAGCACATTGTGGCATGCAGCACATCGTGGCATGCAGCACATTGTGGCATGCAGCACATCGTGGCATGCAGCACATCGTGGCATGCAGCACATCGTGGCATGCAGCACATCATGGCATGCAGCACATCGTGGCATGCAGCACATCGTGGCATGCAGCACATTGTGGTATGCAGCACATCGTGGCATGCAGCACATCGTGGCATGCAGCACATCGTGGCATGCAGCACATCGTGGCATGCAGCACATCGTGGCATGCAGCACATCGTGGCATGCAGCACATCGTGGCAGCAGCACATTGTGGCATGCAGCACATCGTGGCATGCAGCACATCGTGGCATGCAGCACATCGTGGCATGCAGCACATCGTGGCATGCAGCACATCGTGGCATGCAGCACATCGTGGCATGCAGCACATCGTGGCATGCAGCACATCGTGGCATGCAGCACATCGTGGCATGCAGCACATCGTGGCATGCAGCACATCGTGGCATGCAGCACATCGTGGCATGCAGCACATCGTGGCATGCAGCACATCGTGGCATGCAGCACATCGTGGCATGCAGCACATCGTGGCATGCAGCACATCGTGGCATGCAGCACATCGTGGCATGCAGGAGGGCAAATGAGAGAGTGCTCTGAGCGGCATGTGCCAGTAGTGTGCCTCAACCTCTCCCACCCTCCTCTCCGTTCCACCACCCCGTCTCCCCACCTCTCTGGCAGATGGTGGTGTTGCAGCTGATATTGGCGCGCAGGAGGGTGAGGGTGCTCGTGAAAGACCCCAAGGAGGCCACTGCTGGATTCGGGCCCTACGTGCAGGTCAGTCTGTGATGGGTGCTGGAGGGTGCTGGTGGGTATCATTGGGTGCTGACGGTTGCAAACCATCGTCGTCAGCATGGCAAGCACCTATCAAGCGTTCATTCTCCACAGTGGTTCCTCCTCCTCCTTCCCCACAGTGGTTCCTCCTCCTCCTTCCCCACAGTGGTTCCTCCTTCTCCTTCCCCACAGTGGTTCCTCCTTCTCCTTCCCCACAGTGGTTCCTCCTTCTCCTTCCCCACAGTGGTTCCTCCTTCTCCTTCCCTTCTTCTCAACCTGTGCCCTTGTCTCTCGTTTTCCCCAAACGCCTCAACTACTTCCCACAAACCATGATCACCACCGTCACTCTCTCGCTCCCTTGCCTCCCCATCCCCGCATCCCCATGCGCGCCATCCCACCACCATGCACCGCAGCCTATAGCAGGGTCGGTGGCGGAACAAGCAGCAGTGCGAGCTGCGCTCAGGGGCAGTCAGGCAGTCATAGTCACGGGCCGGGTAGGTCGCTGCCAGCAGCACAGCACATGCTCAATGCCTCTAGCCACTTCACTCCCACTTCCCTCGCTACCCCGTCCCCCCCGTCATTCAAGCTTCAATCCTCCCTCTGACTCATCCCCATCCCCGCTGCCTTGCTGTCCCTCATCCCTCAGCATTCCCACACTGCTCTCGTCCTTGCTTTCTGTCACGTCTCTCACACTCACGCCTTTCTGCTCTTTGCTTGACTTTAGCTCCTATAACCCTGTGCCTCCTTCCTGCCTTCACCTCTTTTTCCGCCCCTGCCTTTTCCTGTCCCCCTGCTGCTTCAATCAGCTGGGATCGCTGGCACAACTGCTACAGGGGAGCAAAGTGGAGCATGTGGTGCTGGTATCCCAGGTGAGTTGGTGGGTGGCTGGGTGGGTGGAGGGTGGAGGTCGTGGTGCTCTTACCACAAGCTAGCAAACTGTGCAGCAACATGTGTTATGCAAGTGGATCGAGTGGGTTCGGACAGCGCAGGTTCCTTCTCTACGCGACACAATTGTCGCAGTAAGTATTCCAGGCGCAACAGGCACACGATTGTCGCGCAAAAGGCACACGATTGTCGCGCAACAGGCACACGATTGTCGCGCAACAGGCACACGATTGTCGCGCAACAGGCACACGATTGTCGCGCAACAGGCACACGATTGTCGCGCAACAGGCACACGATTGTCGCGCAACAGGCACACGATTGTCGCGCAACAGGCACACGGCCGGAAGCCGGAAGCTGGGCAAGTGAGAAAGAGTCGCCTGTAGCGCCACTGGGGAAACAAACAAGCAGCAATTTCCATCTCCTTCATAAGCTTGGACGCTTGATTGTTCCTTCCTCTCCATCACCCTTCCTGCCCTCTCTGTCCCATCCTCCCAACAACCTTTCTGTTACCCATCTGTCCACCACTCTTTCCCTCCTCCGCTCTGTCATGAATCCGCACCCCTTTCACCTCCCCATCTTTCCCCGCCCTCCCATCACGCCAGCTGGGGGCTTCGTCGCGCCCATCAGGTCTGGCGGGGTTGCTCTGGTCCGCATCGCTGCTGGCAGCGGCGGCAGACGCCGAGGCAGCTCTGGCTGCTGCTGCTGTGGCGGCAGGTGGTGACGGGGAGAGGGGAGCAGCAGGGGAGGCGCGGAGGCGGGGGTTTGGGTGCACGGTGGTGCGAGGGGGGAAGGTGGTGGATGAACCTGGCCGGCAGAGAGGGCTGCTACTGGGACAGGTGAGGCGTGGGACAGGTGAGGCGTGGGACAGGTGAGGCGTGGGGCAGATGAGCTGTGGGGCAGGTGAGCCGTGGGGCAGGTGGGGAGTGGGGCAGGTGAGGTCTGGGGCAGGATAAGGCAGGAATCATTTTTCTTTTTGGCTGACTGAACTCCTTACCTTCCCTCCTTCTAAAATGTCCTCCTCTCTTCCCCTCTTCCCCTCTTCCCCTCTTCCCCTGTACGTCTCGCCAGGCAACACCAGAAAGGAAACATACGCAGGCAGCGCTTGTGCGCTGTGCGCTTCTCGAAGCCCTCCCCCCATTCCCCCATCCATGAAGGCAGGGCGACACAGTAAAAAGGAAGCATAGCTCAGGAGAAGTTGTCATGGCGGTGGCAACAGTGCCTGTTGTCCCTCCTTCCCCCTTCCATTTCCCATGCGCCCATCAGCTCCCGCCTCTCTCCCTGAGCCCTCATCATCCCCCCAGGGCCACATTATGAGGGGCGGCGTGTCAAGGGAGGATCTGGCAGCCGTGGTGGCGGGAGCATGCACTCCCTCCCCTCCCATCCCACTCGTCCCTCCCCCATTGTTGTGTCGTCTCTCCTCGTGCCCTCATGGTGCCCCCAGGGCGACAACATGAGAAGAAGCGTGTCCTTGCAGGGGGGATAGTGTGTCCTTGCAGGGGGGATGGTGTGTCCTTGCAACATGTCACGGGAGGATCCCCAACCCCCCCTCTTCTCCTTGTGCCCTCACCATCCCCCAGGGCAACACCATGAAAGGGAGCGTGTCACGGGAGGATCTGGCAGCCGTGGTGGCGGCAGCGCTGGCAGTGCCTCCGCCTTCCCAGCACAGACGCATCATTGAGGTGGGCGTGTGGGTGGGGTGGGGAGAGTGTTGGGTTTGGTGAGTCTGTGAGTGGGTTGGGTATGTGGGGTGTGTGGGGGAGGTGGGTGTGTGGGGAGGTGGGTGTGTGGGGAGGTGGGTGTGTGGGGAGGTGGGTGTGTGGTGAAGATGGGTGTACTTGAGTGTGTGTAAGTGTTAGTGAGTGTCGCCTGGAAATCATTCTTTCAGGGTATAGGTGAGCAAACGCTTGCACGTTTCTATCGGCCACGCACACCGAGAAGCACTGCTGGCAATGCCATGGTCCATCAAGAGCCAGGGTCCATCAAGAGCCACTCTCTACTCCCTTACCCCCTCCGTCCTTCCTCACCCCTCCCCACTCCCTGCTTTTTCCCTCCGCCCCGTGTCTCTCCCATCCAAGGTGGTCAACTCTGATACTCCAAGGGACTCCAACGATGGATCTGATTTCTTGGAACGAATAGCTGGGCTTTCGACAGAACCAATCATAATTTGACACGTGGATACCGCACGCCCTTCTTGCGGATGAAATATATTGTATGCAGAATGTTCATATATTTATGTTCCAGTGACGTCTAGTAAGGCAGCCGCTATTCTGTTAGATGGGGCTACGGTATCGTGCAGCGGACGGTGGATAAAGAGGTATATGCCACGCTAGTATGTGGTGTGAAATCACAAGCTAGCAGTGAATGGGCACCTTAGCTTGACAATATTGTGTAAGCAAGCACACCTTCGCACCAGCTTGGCATCATACCATGATAGAAGCGAACCGCACCTGTGGTTGGATTAAAGCACTTTTTTTTTCCACGAGGTGCGAATCTAATTTTGTAAGCGTGCGGTAAGTTTATATTTATACATTGTCAAATCAATTCAGTAGAATTGACGTGGGGTCGTGATTCTGATTATTTTGCCTGGTATGGTAAGCAAACATGTTTATTTTGTACAGCTCGTACACCATGTAAACATTGTGCATAGGTACCTCCTAGGAAAAGTGACGGACATCCCTCGCCAACGGCCGAACACTAGGGAAGAAGATCGCGCCTGTCACCACCCTACTTTGGCGGGTTGTTACGGGCGTGTTCACCCACGTTTGCAATGCCAACTGAAATTGTAATAATCTTCCCAGCCCGACCAGCCGATGCCACCCGATCAGCCGCCGAAAAGAGGGGTACCTAACACGCTCTTAGCCACTTTGTGTGGAGTTCCTAACTCGCGACAAGTCGACGGAATACGACATTGGGAACGGGCCCTCTGCCATCACGGACACGTCATTGTTCCGTCGAAGCACACCTAACAGCGAGGCACAGCTAACGAGGCACACAGCTAAAGCGTGGAACCTAAAACAGCGAGGCATAGCTAGCGAGGTACAGCTAAAGCGTGGCACCCAAAGAGCGAGGCACAGCTAAAGCGAGGCCCAGCTAAAGCGAGGCCCGGCTAGCGAAGCACAGCATAGCTTGGGCTTGTTGTCTTGTCACTCAAGACGAAGCCTCCCATCCCAATTCGGTGAAGCATAACTTATGACGTTGAACGTCGGATACCGAAAGGACAAATGAATGACGCGGCTATATCACCAAATACAATCTTGATTTCTAAGCGTTCAAGGTTACTAACTTGCGTAGAATGGTTAAGTAGGGTGATAGCAAAACGTACTTCGTTCCGAACCCGTCCCGAGGCTCTCAAACCTGCCAGTAGGAGAAACTCCAGACCCTCGAGATTCATTCCCGAGTCGCCTCGCCTTTTCCTGTATAATACCGCCGTGACAACATGCCCGCGGCGGCATCTCTGTCTGTCATCCTGCTCTGTAGTAAGCACCGCTTATGCTTAAAGCCTCTCGGTGATATACTCCTGTAACCTGGTCACAGCGCCGTGGCTGCGGCGCGTCACACCACACAATGGCAGAATCGATTCCGGCTCTGGTTGGTGCACTGCACCACAGAAGAAACCGTGCAGCTTTGTGTCAGCTCCTCATGATGATGCTCACTTCATGGTGATGTTTCAGTGCCTGTCCGCCAGGTGTGGTGGTCTTCACGGTCTTCACTGCCGGCGCCACGTCCGCATCGCACGGGCCACTTCTCCTACCAGATCGTCCCCAAGGCCGCAGCGCGGCTTCTGTTGCGTCTGCCGCTCATGCCAGACCTCTTGTGTGGAAAGGAAAGACCACCAGTAAGTTTGCGCAGCTTTATGCCGCCGCGCCGGCACTGCTAGTTATGTACTAGTACTATTGCTTTTCCTGCTATCCCAATTGTGTCTTCCCCGATTGTCCCCGAACTGTCGTGCAAGTGTCTTTGAGTACAAGTCTGTTTAAGGACACGTTTGCCCTGATTCCAAAAGACTCTTAGCAGGGGTGAGTTTTGCACGTGTCTCGACAGTGTTCCCAAAGGCTCCCCTGGGACCGTCTGGGGACAGTGACATTGTGGAGATGTTCTATTCGCACGTCAGATGAAACCGTGTCGTGCTGCTAACTTGCACGATGGCAACCATCATGGGGATCTTTCATTCATCACTAGCGTGCATTCCCAGACGTCCTTGAGCCTGCGGCTCGCACTTCTTCTACTTCTACTAGTACTTGCTCTAATCCGTCCACTGCCCCCATCCCTGCCAAGCTAACTGCCAGTGAAGTATGTGGTCAACCTGCCTCCCACCAAGGTCAACGGAAAAATAGTTGGCGACAAAGGCGCATCCGGAAAAGTGGTTCTCAAGGTGGTCAGGTAAGCATCCGCGACACACTTCTAGTGCTAATCAAAATCTACAATTACTCACGACCCAGGTGGGCCCCTTATGAGCACATGTTCCGTATCTCCCAGGTGGTGTCCCAAGTACACTCCCCATTCTTGCCCACTATCTCTTGCCATGCGCTCGTGGCAGGTACTCTGCAACGTCATACTATCACCACTATGTTCTCCAAGTCTTGAACATCAAATCTGAAGGAAAGGCTCCTAGAGTGAGCATGCCAATGGCATATTGCACTGACCCATCAATAGCCGGACCAATGCCTTTTATCAACATCACGAGTGACAAGGCCGGTCGCCGCAAGCGCTACAGCTTCTATGTCGTAACCAACTCCGGACCAATGAGTAAAACTATGGCTCATGATGAGATGGTTCATCTTCTCTCGCATGGCCGATTTATGAAGGCATGGCATGAAAAAAACCTGCAGGCACTGTGCGGGAGTTGGAAGAAGCTGTGATGAGTGGTTCACTTCGTGTAGTGTTATCAGTTTTGATCTCAACCTCCAGGGTGCCGTCCCTGGATCTCATGCTGGATTGTGCGTAGCAGATGTTAATCGTGTGTTTGGAGTCAAACTATTAAAGCTTTTGTATACATTTGCAAGTACTGTTCAGGGTTGTACTTGTTACAATCCCAAAGGGGACTTAGCGAAGGATCGCTCGGGTTGATCGCAAAGTAGTGTTGCAACGGAAGTTTGAATCTCAGGTCAGAGTGAATGTAAATGACTGAGTTGATAATAGCATGCATACATCGAGTTTATATACCGTACTCTCCTGGTTAAAACACCCTAGGGTATTATGAAAACCACTGGAAAAAAATGGGGGGGGTCTCCTCAAAGGAAAATCCTATATAATACCCGGGTCTTATTATATGGTTTATTTTTTATAAAACAGAAAAGATGTGAAACAAAATCAGGGGTCTGACTTCACTTCAAGATTGTTGATCAATGCCGCAAAACTGAGTACGAGGATATTGTGGGCCACTTGGGCCACTTCACCTCTTGGACCACTTGCAGTGGAAGATTCGCCAGCGTGGCGACAGCAAGATTTTGGGATTCACTAGCGTGGCGACAACGAGATTGTGGGAGGGGGGATATCTCGGCTGATTCTTAGTGAAAGTACATGCGAAATTTCTTCTAGGGAGTGATTTTCGCGATATCCTCCCGTAAGGAATCAGACTCGATAACAGCTAAATTAGGAATCTATAAGAAAAGGGGGGTATTATAGAGAATCACCCCAAAAAGGGGGGGTATAGTACTAACTGGGTCGGATATAACACCCACCCCGTATAAGCTACCCGGGGGTGTACAATTACGGGGGGGTGTTTTATCAGGGAGAATACGGTAAGAGTACAGAGGAATACGAAAGGTCCTAGACTAGCCATGTACTCTAAGGGGTACATTCCCATATTGCAGCGAATTCAAACCATGCGGCGCGGGAACCCGTTTTGAACCTGTTCCCGCTCTTTTTACTTCAAATGTTTCTGCCTGCAACGGTCTTGGTCAGACGGTTGCTGCGTCGCTTCGACTCTTCTGACTCCTCGACTTCGTACTCGGTAGAGTCGGCTCCTGCAACATACAGGAATGCCTTCTCATGAAACTTCATTTCGTAACACTCCCCTTCATTCTTGGGCGCAGAAGGAGCTGACTCGCTTGACTACTCAGGTGAGGTCGGAGCAGTGCTTGTACCGCTGACGTGGCAGGCGCTTGGTGAGGAAGTCTGCTGCCATCTCAGTAGTCGAGCAGTAGGCGAGGTCAACTTTTCCCTGGTCAATTTCGTTCCTGACGAAAAAGTACCGAAGCGCGATGTGCTTCGTGCGGTTCACGAAACCTGGCTTGTTCGCGATCCTAATAGCACTCCGGTTGTCGCAGTGAAGGCGAAAGGTAGACGAGGTTGGAATTTTCGCCTCCTGTAACAGCTCCTGCAGGTACAGGCCTTCGCGAACTGCTGCTGTCGCGGCGATGTATTCTGCTTCAGCCGATGACAGGGCAACCAGCTCCTGCTTCTCTGAGTTCCAGGAGATTGGTCCTGTTGGTTCCAGGCGGAAAACGAAGCAAGTTCGGGACCGTCGATTGTCAGGATCAGCGGCATGGTCTGCGTCCACGTAGCCGTTGAGGTTGAAAGAGGTCGTCGTTAGCGTGGAGTAGGAGAGCCCGATGTCAGGTGTGGAGATGAAGTACTGCAAGGCGCGCTCCAAGTCCAGCTGGTTCTCTGCTACTGGCTTGCGGGAGTACTGTGCCAGTTGGCTGGCGATGTACGAAAGGTCGGGTCGGCAGGTGACAGAGGCGAACAGCAGGCCGCCCAGTTGCTGTTGGTACAGTTGGAGTCCTGCGGGTGACAGTGGTTTGTTGTTCAGTTTGTAGTTGGTGCTGGGGTTGCGGTACAGAGTTGAGAGTGGTGCGGGCGAAATGTTGAAGCGTTCTCCCAGCTGCTCTGCGTACTTGAAGGCTGACAGGTGAATTGCTTCTGGCGCGTAAGTGATGTTCAGCCCCCAAAACTGCTTCACATTGTGGTTGATGGTGATGTCAACGCGCTGCGCTAGGTTCTCCTCGAACTGATTAAGGAGTTTGTTGCAGATGCCCGTGTACAGTAGGTCGTCAACGTAGACTGTCAGGAGAATGTAATCGCCACTGAAGTGAAGGCGATACATTCCCGGGTCGTGCGGCAGCTGCTTGAAGCCGATTTCGAGGAGAATCTTGTACAGATGCTGCTGCCAGAGGCGAGGCGCCTGCTTGATCCCGTAAAGGGATTTCTTCAGCTGACAAATCCTGGATTCCCCTTCTCCGTAGGTGTGAGGCTGCTCCACAAAGATGATAGCGTCCACCAACACGTATAAAAACGCGTTCTTCACGTCGTTCTGTCGCAGTGGTAGGTGCTTAGCGGCGGCGATGGCAAGTAGAATCCGGACAGAGGTGTGGCTACTGACGGGGGCGAAGGTCTGGTCGAAGTCGGTGCCATGTCGCTGATCGTACCCGCGTATGACCCAGCGTGCCTTGAATCGCTCGATGGTGCCGTCAGCGTTAGTCTTCAGGCAAAAAACCCATTTTCTGCTGAGTACCCTCCTCCCCTTCACTGCTGCACGATTGACGAGGACCCATGTGTCTCGAGACTCTAGTGCCTTTAGCTCCGCATCCATCGCAGCGCGCCACTCCTTGGCGTGAGGGCCGGTTAGGGCCTGGCAAGGATTCTTTGGCTCCACGGCTCATGCGAGAGTGGTGACGGACGTGTGCAGGCCGAGGAGCTGTAGGCCAGACATATTAGTGGTGTCCGTGTTGGTGGTGACTTCCACCACGTCGTCGTCTCCGCTTTCGTAGCCGGATGCAGCGTTGCTTGGCTCTGCTTGGCACCGTGACGGCCCTGGTGCAGGGTCATCGTCACTGTTGTCGTCGTCATCGTCGCGCGGGCGAGGCGGGATGTTGGGGTGTTCGTCGGTGTCGTCGCGGTCCAGTGCTGCTGCTGCTGCTTCGTCTTCTGGAGTGGCAAAGCTGCGACCGCTGTTGACGTAGCCGCGTGCCTGGTTGCGGCGATTATCCTCGATTCACTGCTTCAAGGTGAGCCGCTCGTAAAAGAGAACGTCATGCGCTGGAACGATCTCGTTGCTATCAATATCAAGAATAAGCCACCCTTTGTGCTCGTGGCTGAGCCCCAGGTGAATTCCCCAGCGCGCGCGATGAACGAACTTGCCAATTGTGGCCGAGGTCGGCCGATACTGCACCATGCACCCCCAAACCCTCAGCATGGAGGGGTCTCCCCTTGGGGACAGGCTTTCCGTGTTGGCGGTGGTGGAGAGAAGGTTGTGTAGGCGCACCGCGTGGTTCATGGTGTAGGGCCAAAACTTCTTTGACAGGCCGGACTGGTTCATGAGGGCGCAAACTTTTGTCATGAGAGTGCGGTTGACTCTCTCTGTGACGCCTTGCTGCTGGTGAGCGTAGGGGAGAGAAATCTCATGCTTGATCCCCTTCTCGGTGAGGACGCTCTCCAGCTCATTGCTGCAAAATTCCTTGGCTCCATCACTCTGCGAGATCTTCAGCTTCCTTCCAGACTGCCGCTGCGTGTGCGCGAGGAAGATGCGGAACGCTTCCGGAGCCTTAGAGCGAGCGTCGACATTGGCGATCCACACGTGGCACGAGTAGGCGTCGATGAAGGTCAGCGTGTACTTTTCGCTGTTGAGTCCGTCACAGGTGAGCACGATGAAGTCGCTGTACACCTTCTCCAGCTTCTTGTAACGGTTGGTGCTCGGCTCCAGGGAGGGGTAGGCGCTGTGGGAGAGCGCAGCTGTGGGGCAGACAGTGCAAGTGATTGGGTGTGAAGTGTTGTGCGGTTCTGTTCCGTCGGGGCGCAGCAGAGCTCATGGCGGGAAAAATTTGGCGCAGAGGCAGTTGGCGAGGGTCTGGCGCGAGAGGTGGCCCAGCCGCTGGTGCCAGAGGTCTTCTTCGGCGCGAATCCAGGAGGTGCGCTTGTAGCGAGCGTAGTGTTCCGCTACCTCTGCTTCCGTAAGTTGCGGCATCTGGAGTGGAGGTTCTTCTTCTTCTCCTAGTTCTGCTTCGTTGTCCGGCTCCTCTGTTTCTGCTTCTGCCATTGTCTCCCCTTCTGCATGTGCCGTTGTGAGGTAGAGGGTGAGGAATTTACGTTCGGGGATGATTGTAAGCGGGGTCGTGGTGCCTTCAATGAAGTGAGCGAACGGATCTAGGCGGGAGATTGGACCAAGTGAGTCCCACGGAGGAGTTGATGGTATATTCCCCTCCTCAATCTCCGACCAGGGATCGCTCCAACGATGAGGTGAGCGAGGTCGTTCACGGGTGTGTGGGGGTCATCCGAGGGGGATGGCAACGCGTGGTGATTTTTCTCCGCGCTCGGCTTTCATCTCTCGTTCAGCTTCCTCCAATTCTTCTTGCGTGAGCTCCCCTTCCTCGGGCTCTGCTGTTCCCCATCCTCCCGTAGTAACCGTGCCGCTTGCGCTGGCTCCCCATGCTCCAGTGGCGGATGCCCAGGTTGCACCGCCTTCTGGTTCGTAGTCCTCGTCTCCCCATGCTCCTCGTCGTGCAGATTGTTCGTCCCATCCTGCCGCGACACGCTCCTCATACAGCTTTTGTTTCTTTTCTGCTCGGGCCTTGTCTCGTTCTTCCTTAACGCTCAGCTCCCCAGCTGCATCAGGATCCTTCTAAGCCGGATCGATGTCGTGGCGGTAGACTTCGCAGG